GCTTCCATTTCATTTTTTGAAATTGGGGCGTTTCCAATACTGGTCTTTACCTTTAAAATAAATATCAATAAATAACAATAATATAAGCTAATAATAGAAAATAATATATCAAAATCAACAAAAACCCATATTTCTGTTAAGGCGCACTGTTATGATATTTTTTGTTATGCACTACCAAACATCTGATTATTTTGTCAATGATAAACAAGATGAGTAACACAACGCGAGGCTGTTGTCCACATTTGTACTTAGAATGATACTTCATTTGAGCTTTGGATTATGGAAACTATACACAATCCTTCTCTTCTGGCTATCGGACACATCAATCATACAGGTTATTATTATTAATAGTAATTGTTATAATTTATCTAAATGCAGTGCCGCGAGCAGGAGTGTCTTAGCTGGATTCCAATAAGAGAGGGGCACTTCATGGGGAGGGGTATCTGGAGAGCCTTTCGGAAGAGGGGTTCAATGAAGGGAAATTCATACAGAGAGAGTGTCAGAAGGAAACCGCTTCTAATTTTAAAGTATTAGGACATGCGCAGAACTATTGTCCTTTGTTGAAACAATGACTATTGCCAAGGAAACTAAGAGTTTCGGTATTGTCTCCCTTGATTTCCATAATTATATGAATCACTTGATAGTTGATTTCAATGGAGAAAGGTGAATAAATACAGTAATATTTTACATATAGGATTGACTACAGTCATCACATTTGTTTTCAATTATGTTAAAAGACACGACGGTTGAAAAGAAAACTGAAAAGAGCATTACTACATCAACTACGTAAACTCATCTACAATCATGGTCAGGATACTCTTAAACGTTACGAGGGCACCAAGAGAACGAACGACTCAATAAATTACCTCTTTAACTTTTAGATAATCATCGAAGTGTGCTATATCATGAGAAATAATACATTATCTATCTCATGCACCATCGCTAATATTCGATAGTTTTCTCTGCCGTTGTATAACGTACTACAGTACAAAATCTTGATAAGAGACCGTTGCCATTGGGCCCATACAATCCGACGTATATCAGCAACCTTTGAAGAATGGCACAGACTATTATCTTGTAATACATCTGATCATTGTGTCATTAGCCTTACTAGAGCTTTTATCGGACCAAATATGAAGTGAAGAGACACATTCGCGGTTAATTCTAGAATTAGACAATACTTGGTGACGTACGAGACACCAAAGATCAGCACGTTTGACTTGCCCCTTTATGTGCTAAACCTGTATAGGTGCCCTTACTGGTTTACAGGTGATTCTTGTAGACGCTGAGCATTTATGTGGTCTCTGTTATGTTCTCGACAGAGATATACAAGTAAAGTCATATCTACCCTTCCCCTTCCTTTGTTTCTCTATCGCAAATACAATGTGGATTTATATAACTTTCATTATTTCATTACACATGTACTTGATAACGTATGGGACTCAAAATAAGCAAATAAATGGGATATGCCTTAGAACAAAGTTTGTGGGATTCCTTTACTTTCAAATCATAATGAAGTACATTCATCGTATCACGTAATAATGTTATTGGTTATTATATCGTAATATAGAAGACGGGGTTGAACTTGGGCTTGGGAATGAAATCAAAATTGAGAAAATTGCTTTTTAAAGCGATCCATCTCCTCTGTATGTCTTCTTTTATTGGATGAAGCCACATGCTATATCTACCTTGCAAACATCACTCGCTGCTGTTATCCGTCATGGAGCACGGTATGCATTATGATGGCATACACGTAATGGAAATAATGGTCTTTATGTATTTAGGAGCTTGCTTAAAGGACAGCGATAAACCTTGATGAACAGGGTTACGACCTGATATATTCCTACCATAAATTTATTGCCGTTTTAATGTTCTGGTCGCCTTTGCCATTACGTGATACTTGAATCTAATAATGGTATACAAGTACACTTGACTTAATCTAATTTGAAAAGAACTCGGATATAATAATTCTTTACACTTTTTGTATTAATCATGAAAATATGTAGTAAAATCTCGTATTCCGGGGTGGCATAATAGGGCGGTTTGTAAAGTTATTAACATTAGTGCTCTCTTAATGTGATAGATTGTCTGAAAATTAGAGGGTTAAAAATATTAGGCATTATTCTGGAGTAGGAGATAATGATCATGAATTTTGAGCTATCAAATTTATAACAGTTCTCATTTAAGCATTGAAACTGCGTCTGAACGATATGGGGTTATCAAACTAGTCACGATGCTATACATTAGTTATGGAGAGAGAGAGAGAGAGAGAGAGAGAGAGAGAGAGAGAGAGAGAGAGAGAGAGAGAGAGAGAGAGAGAGAGAGAGAATGGGAATGGGGAACGAAAGGGAAACACAATAAAAGGTCTAACAATGCACTATTCTCATTAAGCTCGACATTATATAATTGCATACTTTGTTCCAAATATACACATGTGGTCACAATAAAATGTGAAGTTGATGAGAGGAGACAGTGGAGATATATTAAATGTCAAGAAAACATATAAATTGACAAAAAGAATAATCAATTTTTATTTGATTGATAGATGTTGTTACGTTTAATAATGGAGAAAATAAATGAAGTAATGATTTATTATGATCTACAATAGCAGTATTTAGAAAAGTATTGTTATCAGTTTGTTCAGTTGATTATCAGCCATCTAAAATGTCAGTCTAAAAGACTAAAGCTAATAATAATGTTTGCCATTGGCTGGTTGAATCAACACCATATATAGCCTCGTATACTTAAAAAATAATGCAGGAGTTGTTACAGCTGTAGCCTACATGTAGGTACATGAATATTGTTTGATATACTTCTGTGTATGAGGGGCAAAACAGATTTTCTATTTTGCATTTTTCTCTCTTGTCTCTTATTCTTTACAAGTATGAATATTATATCACGCACAAACACACCCACACGCAGTATACGCTATCCCTCTCACTTCATCCCATCTCCCCCTCCCCTCTCCCCCTCTCTGCATGCAATTGAAGCACATGGGATTAGCCTATTGATTCATGTTGCAATTGAATTTGGCATCTGTTTCTGGAAGAAACGGGTATAGGCGAGCTGTGTTTGGGTTACATGAACACAAGTGCTACTTCAAACATGTCAAATATCCCAAGAGCCGATTGGTAAAGGGCTCAGAAAGGGAGAGCAGCTGCCTGCTTTTGACGTCAAGATGATGGTAATTGTATATGAATAGCTGAAACGGATGGAGAGGGAAGGGGGGTAATTGTATTGTAGCATTTGTAATAATCATTTTAAAATAGCCCAATTTACAATGGCCTGGAAATTTTTCTACAATAATTCACGATTACATAACTTTTGACACTTTATGCCAACAGCTATGTATATGGTTTTGGAGAACCTCACTACTGTAGTGGTGAGAAGGTAACACCTTCTGAATTAAGTAGGGTTAAATTTGTGTGAAAAATCACCGGTGAAGAGTAATTTGGTTGAGAAATACCATAGGAGAGCTGAAAGAGATAACAGCTTGCCTAATTAATTTCATGGTGGCGGAATTTACAGCAAACAATGACTTTTTCTTTCCCAGGATTAGATTTACATACATTTGCTACATGAGTTGATTCAGATGTCATTCAAATATACTCTCCTACAAGTTTGGGGTTTCCAAGAGCTTAAAAATCTTACCTTTTTCCCGTTATGTATGATCTACTCTTGATTCTTTTCAAATAAAAACGGTGATATCGCCATTAAAAAAAAAATACTTTTATTGTTTTTATTACGTTCACTGAAGTATATCTGTCGATAGACAACTGTCTGTAGTTAGAGTTTACGCCATACATTTATGAGTGACTGCTAAATGCGGACCTCACATAGTTTTGAACGCTATCCGTCCCTCCCAAATGTTTTATTCTTTCTACAAAAAGAGAATGTTTAGTCAAGTCGTTTACTGGCATGTTTGCTGTATACCTTCAAAAGGGCATGAAAGGGAAAGGTGTTTGACTAAAACCCTTGTACATCCTTCACCCTTGCCTCTCTCATACCATCGATATGCACATCATACATTTTTCATATTCATACGAGATCCGAATCGCTCAATACCAATAACTCCACTGCGCCTCTTCATTCTTTGGAGCGCATCTTGACTATCTCAGCTCCACATCTCGATTTGTTGACGAGATCCTGCGGATGAATGCTGCTTGTGCATAATGAAAGTGAACTCGGCGTATCGCAATGAAGAAAAACAACAAAGAAAAGGCCAGACGCCAACTATATTTCAACCCGAATCCATATATTTGTCTCTCCGGAGCGAGACCATCGTCATACATTCATTCACAAATTCGGCGCCTCGCAAAGTAGAGGAAGGATGAGAGAACTTACTCTTTTTGTGCTGCTTTCTATCGGAGGCTTATTAAGTAACCCATTTCATTTGCATTTGTTTTCTTCTTCATTTTGTGTGGTATTCATGTTACGATTCTAGTTTTGGAATGCGTTTATTTCATTTATATTCCCTCACTGCCGTAGTAACACCCTCCCCCCCCCCCCGAAAAAAAAAAAAAAAACACACAGAGCTTCACAATGAACAAAATAAATCTCAATCTCAATTCTAATGACGATTCCTTACATTCTTTGATGCGATCTCATGCGATCAGAATATTTAACGAAAGCAGGAATGGTCCAGAGATTTTTGTAAAATCAATAATTTACTGTTACAGAGACGATTATAACGCTCATATTTTGCAGCATTTCATTCTACACGATATTGTTTTCGAACACTTGACCTAGGGCAAGGCCATTTCTCCACTCCTTCCCATCAACACAACATGTGTGGAAACAATATTTTGCTGTATAGGCTATGAAAAACGCATAAACCAACTATCGTGTATTGACCCAAAGTGGTCATAAGTCACTGTATTTTCGTAGAACCACTATATACTGCTATGTGCTGTTCTCAAGTTAAGCATAAATATACTTTGTAATATATAAATTCCGATATTCAAATAACATACAAAACATAGTAAGTTAATAAAGCATACCGAAATCCGCTATCCAATACTGGTTGTTCTAATAAAACGTCCCAGTCGGTCACCGATAGAGATACAAGCTCCTTTTTTCATTACTTGTCCAGGGGCACCTCCGGCTAAGGAATAGATATAACACTTGTCTCAGACTTCAAAATGAGCAGCCAGCAACGATCGGGAGTAGTCCATCAAAATTTGTATTTACAATTTGACCGCCAAATTGCACATGCACACTGGAGAGCGGTTCAACCTGTGAATGACACATTTAACACTGCATTCATACGCGGAGATTTGCCCTCCCCGTGCCCGCATTTGTTCGCCACATGTGTCAACGAAAATCTCTGCGTAAATTGATGACTTTTTAAAAGAGAAAATTGAAAATAGGCAGGCCTTCAAACCCATTTGCGAATCAGCGGCGCGTGTGTGGATTCCGCCTCCCTCCTCGCATTTTTCTTTTCAATTCCACCCGCGAAAGCTCCTGGCGTATGTGAGTGTGTGCGTGGTATGAAATGTGGGTGAGCGTGTGCGTGAGACGCGATGAAGAGTGGATGGAACAGTTGACTCTAGATGAAGACAACAATGTGCGGAGAATGTCTGGATGAATGCTAGAGAATGTGCAGTAATGCGTTTGTTTTCTAATTTGATACCTTGAGAATGTGCAGTAATGCGTTTGTTTTCTAATTTGATACCTCGTAAGCTCCGACCATGCTCCGACCATGCTCCGACATACTTACTGAGCAGAACGATGAGAGGAACATTTAACGGGGGCGAAAAGGACCATTTGATTTGTTCAGACATGACAATGGCTTGTTTATGTTTAGTTTACCCAAGAACGAAGGTTGCATATACTTCTATGAGCTTACAGGTCATGTCAAGTCAAAGCATTTTACGATGAAAAGTTAACATTTAACCAAAATAGACAAACTTAATTATTTTTTACGGCTTGATTATTTAGTAGGTAAATTAAAGTATACAGGCAGTCTCTTACACTTTCTATCCCCTAATTAAACATAACTGCATTATCCACCGTCAACATTTCACATCAGATGTATTATGTAATGATCTCTCAAAAGACCAATAGCCACATGAGTTAACGGAGAAACACATGCATAGGGAATATACCAGTTCGAGAATGTGTTATCTATGTGCAACATACCCGAAGCTTTTCAGAATAAAAATAACAATTAAAAGTATGCAACGTGCATTCCGACTATCGAGCTCCAACACCTAAAGTGATTTTTTTTCTCAAAAGAAATTGGCAAACAATCTCGTTTTCTTTTTCGCTCATTCTCCACGTGCCTAGCCGATAAACGTTTTTTTTTTAATTATGCTACAATTACATTATTATATAATTACATAGGACACAAACATGGTTGTTTCTTTGCAGAACCGCTAGAGCGTATATAGACGAAATGTTTAGTTTACTCATGATGTCTATTACCTCAGTACTATCAACAAGAACGACACCAGTCCGACTACAGACCGAACAACAAACCATATCACCAGTAATGGTAAATGATCGGTCGGTTTGGTGTCCCTTTGGAGTCAGTATAGCGGTGTGACTGAGGCATAAAAGCATGGAAATTCACCTTTTATCTGGCCTCGTACACACTCGTTTGTCGGGTCATCCTTTGGCAAATTTTTGTGTCAGTATAAGCTTTTGTGCATATCATTTTAACACATACAGTGGGTAAGGGTCCCCGGTAAGTACGAAATAATATAGGAAAGGAATAATGTCAAGCATACATGAAATGTATCATTGCATTCTTCATCATTTTTGCTATATCATTTTGTTCATTTTTCTTCTTTTTTTGATACATAATTATGTATGAGATTTGTTTTAAAAAAAATAAAAATGTAGATTTGCAGAAATGTTTAGTTTTTTTAAAGTTTTTTGTTACAACACTATTTTTTTCTCGATAAATGACATTTATATTCAATAGGCCTATATTGATTTGGTTGTCGCTGAGGTTTCATGATCATGTTCCATTATGCAGTTCTTGTTATCGCCGAAGATTTAGTCATCATTAAAAAAAGATCATGTTCTGTAACAACAAATATAATATAAAGCCCTCTAAGATTGGGAGTTTTTTCCCCCTTTGTTTTTTTTATATTTGCTTTGCTTTGTTTTCAAACAAAAAAAAAAAAAAAAAGGTTACAAATTGTAGCTCCATCTACGTTATAAGCAGTACAGATGGAGTGGCTGACAGTCAATTCAAGGCAAGTTTGAAGGGGTGTGATTAAAGGAGAACTAACCCCGAATAATAACTTTAGTTGTTCTGAGAGATTTGTTGTATTCTTACCCTTCAATCTACAAGATTCCCCACCTGACTGTTTGAGAAAGGCATAAAGCAATGATCAAGTGCAGTTTCTCAGCAAGACATGGGCATGGCCATTTTCTTGATTGCATGACGTACTATGCGGAGTCATGTATCAACTAAATGTATTCGAATTTATGGATGCTTCCTTCCCAGGTGTTTGTGGTAATGAATCATTTCATTCACCTGCTATTATCCTTTGTGCATTGCCAGAATGCAAATTGCATAAAATAAGTTGGCGCTGTTCTGGGGGGAAGGTTTTTCATAATTAGTAAAATAGATTTTGCAACCACTATATTTTAGTATTTTCAAATAAATGAGTTACAGATGTTACCCTATTATTATATTTTTTACCTAATGTAATTTTTACCTTCTCGGCTTTGATTTTCCCTCATTGAAAAGTAAAGGCTTTGTTATTGAATTAAAAAGTCTCTTTCAATTAAAACTTGGCGCATGATACATTTACAACTCCGCCTGGTTGGTCATATTTTCAAGTAAATGGCTGCGCCCATGTCATACTAAAAAGGCATTACATCGTGCCCGACATCATGCCAATAAATCTTCATTTATATATCTCTTGTACACATTCGTAAGATATTGATAGGCAGGAAATTGTGATGGCCAAGGGTGTCGATTTGTATCCGTGGTTGGGGGGGGGGGGGGGATAGGTGCCAAAATATTTTCGGCAATGGATCAAAGCAACCAAGAGGTAGAAACGTGTGGTAGGTTGCACCCCCTCCCCAAGCGCGTAGCCAGGATTTCATTTTAGGGGGGCGGTAGTGAGCACGCAAAGCGTGCGAATCACTTTACAGAGCGCGCTGTCTGGGAGGTTGGGTGCAGGGAGGGGGAGTTTTCCCCGCGAAGCGCGGAAGCTTTGACGTTTCATTAAATTATTAGAGAAAGAAGACGATTCCTCGTACCGTTCTCGACTCTTAATCCTTGTTTGAATCCTTTTGAAGTTTCATTAAAGTAATAAGGAAAGAAGACGATTCGTTGTACCGTTCTCGATTCTTAATCCTTGTCTAAATCCTTTTGACGTTTCATTAAATTATTAAAGAAAGAAGACGATTCGTTGTACCGTTCTCGACTCTAAATCCTTGTCTGAATTCAGTTCCCCCCTCCCGCGCGGAAGCTTTGATGTTTCATTAAATTATTAGAGAAAGAAGACGATTCCTTGTACTGTTCTCGACTCTTAATCCTTGTTTGAATTAAGTTCCCCTTCCTCCGCGCGTAGCGCGGAAGCTCCGGCGTTTCATTAAACTATTACAGAAAGAAGACGATTCGTTGTGCCGTTCTCGACTCTTAATCCTTGTCTAAATCCTTTTGACGTTTCATTAAATTATTAAAGAAAGTAAACGATTCGTTGTACCATTCTTGACTCTTAAATCCTCGTCTGAATTCAGTTCCCCCCTCCTTCCGCGCTTCGCGCGGAAGCTTTCACGTTTCATTAAATTATTAGAGAAAGAAGACGATTCGTTGTTTCGTGTTCTTGTCTGAATTCAGTTTTCCCGCGCGGAAGCTTTGCATTTCAATAAATTATTACTCTTAATCCTTGTCTGAATTCATTTTCGCCCTTCCCGCGCGAAGCGCGGAAGCTTTCACATTTCATTAAATTAGTAGAGAAGGAAGACGATTCGTTGTATCCTGTACTTTGACGTTTCATTTAATACTCTTAATCCTAGTGTGAATTCAGTTGCCCTCCTCCCACGGAAGCTTTGCCGTTGAGAGAAAGAAGACGCTTAACATTTAGCTCGTTTAGCTGCGGTTTTGCATTTGGCGCACTGCATTTCTATGATGCTGTTGATTGAACAAATTTAATAAATTCATCAATTCCTGATGAAGCCGTATGAGCGAGAATTTATTGTTGTCTCATGTACGATTGTCTCATTTACTTCTTATATATATGTATGTATTATGAAAATGAGATAGCAAAATGTGTATATTGATGGTCATCTTGCAAGTAATAACCATTAACTACTCTCATCGGGCTTTCATCATTAATTTTTCTCTTCATTTTTTTTTTTTGATGGTGAATTATTGGGGGGGGGGGTGTGATTGTACAGGCCATCCCCCACCTGAAATGTTGGGGGGGGATATCCCCCCCCCATCCCCCCGGGATCGATACCCATGGTGATAGCTCCAATGAATGTCATCAAAACGTGATCTTGGTATTATACAGGGGACTGAAAAAAAAAACTATTTTTATGTAGAATATTGCTATCCGTTTGATCAAAGGTACAAGTGTAATAAATTACGTATCTGGATTAAACAAAACTGCGCCATCTGCGTTCGACTGCCGACTGGCACTTATTGTTATCGTAGTTTTTGCCTTTGTGCATATAATTATGAACACTTAAATCTCTGTAACCGTGGAGATGAGTATAACGTATACAACGAACGCCATTACGGAAATTAACTACCATTACTCTCTCTCTCTCTATTTCGCGCGCTCTCTCTCTCCCCCCCCCCTCTCTCTCTCTCTATCTCTCTCTCTCTCTCTCTCTCTCTCAATCAATCTCTCTCTCTCTCTCCCTCTCAATGACGCTTGATAAAAAATGATAACGGATTTGAGCGGTAGACATATTAAAGGCAAAACTTAATCGGGGGGGGGGGGGTCATGCCCGTTGTCAGAATACGTGTATTGACTGTTTCCCATTCTGAATTTGCGAGCGAGCGAAGAGAAAATATGACGTGCCGGTTGCCCGAATGATTGTGCATTACAAACTCTTGGGGTGGGGATAAGTAGGGGGCGGACTGCGTCCCCCATCCCAATGCCTTAGCATATAGCGACTCAGGAACAACAATGCTATGTTTGCTCACGTTGAAACCTTATCTTTATAACTATGGGTAATGATCATTACCCTATTTTGTTTATCTAAATGATTGATATTGCGTAGTTCCTATTTTCAAAATCATGTTAGTCCAAAGTGATGAATCAAAATTTAACAACAAAGGAAATTGGATGGAGGCATGTCCCACCTTGCTGAATATTATCATGAACTTCCGTTAAATTATTACAGTTATGTAGTACTGATGATTTTGTAACAGGGTATTTCCCGTTTTCTCTATAATAGTGCGTATCCCGTTTAGTCCAGTAGACGGTGCCATATACCATGTACATGACCTGGACAAATGGTGCAATGCAACATTGTAAATCGCTGTTGAAAGATTAATCATTAATTCATGAGAAGATATTCCATGTATATGTAGTATAATTAGCCTAATTAGCATAATAATCTAATTAGCATATATGTGCAGT